ACAAATCCGCGAGGGCCGTGACGAAGATTCGAACCTACGTCCGAGAGCATCCCAGACGCTGCCTTAATCGACTGAGCTACAACAGGGTCAAAAGAATTGCAACCAGAAGTTCTACCAAACTAACTTGGATCCTGCAGCCTCTCCGAGACACAAACCAGGATTGTACACAATTTCTCTATACACTCGAGCTATGTCAATAGGCCGTTCTACCTCCTTTCTGCAATTTCTTGCAATCCTCCGACTTTCTTGAAGATGTGTAATCACAAGGACACATCGTATATATGTATATACGTATGTATATATGTATGTATGTATGTATGTATGTATGTATGTATGTATGTATGTATGTATGTATGTATGTATGTTGCAGATTTACCAGTCTGGTGTGGTATAGTTAACATGTAAGTAGTTGGACAGTTACATGTAACTGGTTGGGCAGTTACGTGTAAGTGGTTGGGCAGTTACGTGTAAGTGGTTGGACAGTTACCGTCTTACCAACGGTACACAGCTCCCATCAGCAGCGGCAAAAACAAAATATGTTGAAATGTATGTATTTTATGTATATATATATATATATATATATATATATATATATATATATATATATATATATATATATATATATATATATATATATATATATATATATATATATATATAGTGGATGTATCTAGTTATTTAAGATTATATGTACCTTGGAATAGATGTGTAAATGTATGTGTATACATATGTACTATTTGCACTTACACATTCCGTACTCGTACGGAATATGTGCTTTTATATGTACTTGTGTGTGTGATTGTATTTATACGTTAATGAAGGTTTAAATACAATCTATTGTATATATAGATTGTATTGAATGTTTACTGTCTAGTCTATATTGAATGTTTACAGAAACTTCACCATATATTGAATGAATATAATGAATTTAACATATATATCAATGTTGAAGTCATTATATATTCCGTAATTACCACACAACTAACTAGTGTACTTTATATATATATACCAAACACTATATGAATTCAGAAAGCACAGTGGGCACCGGATATAAGGTATTTACTCACGTGGATACATTGTTTATACATTACTGTATAATGCAACAACAATGAATGCTTAGGAATAAAGCAAATAAACAGACAAAAATCTTTGTTTATTTGCGTCTGAGCGTATCTTTAGATGTGAATAAACTGCTGTTTTTTTTTTTAATATTATCGAAGCGATGGTGTTTTTTTCCGTCAAATGTTCCTGGTCGGCCGCTCGAGCGTGTTCCCTGGTGTTCCGTGATGCACTTCGTTGGTGTTCCATAGTGCTAGTGAAACGTTACTTGCTCTAGTTCCCTAAGGCTGTGATTGGCTGTTACTGGCACGGTGTTTCTGGGGCATGTTACCCGTGTGTTCCGTGTTACAGCTACGGAACACCGCGAGGTGAGGAGTTCCGTTTTAGTGTTCCTTAGTGTAAGAGTATGGGACTGGGCTTCGCTCCTTTGTTTCATAGTGTACCACCGTGTTCCGTATGACGTCGCCGTGCTACGTTGTGAAGCGTAGATTATATGGAGCATGTTCCGTGAGATTCGTACTGCGTCTGTAACGTGTTCCATAACGGGTTCCGTAAGAGGCATAAGCTTCGTATGTAATGGGGTTCCGTAGTAATAATATTCATGGTTCCTAAGCATCATGTTCCGTAAGTAGCATGCTTCGTATATAGGGGAGTTTCGTAAGTAAGGTACTTGATAAGTAAGATATTTGTTAAGTATGGCGTTCCGTCATTTTTTTGTATCAAAAAAGTAATCCCCGTAAGTCGTATGAAAGTCTTGTACGTAACATAAGTAGCTATACTACTGAGTAACGTGTTCCGTAACCAGAGTCTTTCTTAACGACGGTGTTCCTTAATTAGCTCGTTCCGTAAGTAGTATTGCGAAGCAAAAGTGTTCTGTATATAAGTTGTGCTTCTTAAGTAGCGTGCCTAATGTTTCTCACAAGTAGCGTGTTCCCTAGCTTAGTGTGTTCGGCAAGTAGCGTGTTCCGTAGGTAGCGCGTGAGTAGCGTGGAACGCACCAGGAAGCTGGCGGAACTTCCGGAAGTGTAGCGAGGTGTGGGTGTGGCTTGAACAAGAACGGTAGTTGTTCTTGTTCATGCTGTTATTGCTCTGTTCTTGTTCCACTTGTTATTCTGTTCTTGCTTCCGCTGTTCCTGTTCCCGCTGTTGTTCTGTTCTTGCTTCCGCTGTTCCTGTTCCCGCTTTACTTATTATGTTCGTTGCTTTTGTTCTTTCTGTTCATGTTACTGTTGTTCTTGTTTGTTCTTTAGTTATTAATATGTTCTTCAATTTTTTTTCTAAATTGTTACATTTTTATTACTGGTCATTATTACATAATTATTAATGTAATTATTCCTTTACTGAATAAGTCTCCATTGATATGTATTTTCATATGCAAATGTTTAGAATAATTTATTTCCCAGCTATTATTTTCCTGTGTAAGTGTCCCTTCAGCAAACTGTTATTGTTTCATTGCTTGGCTCCACGGGACTGACCTCCCTGGTACTCCACTCTCACTAGTGGAGTCCCGCAGGGTGCAGTCCTTGGACCTATCCTGATATATGTAAAGGATCTCCCAGTGAGTATACACTCGTTCCTTTCAATGTTTGCTCATGATGCGACCATTATAAGGAGGATTAAAACCGAGGAAGATAGCCTGAGGCTACAAGATCACCGAGACAAAGTGAAGGTAAGGTCCAATAAATGGCTACTAGAGTTTAACTGAAAGAAGTGTGAGGTAATGAAGCTAGGTGGAGGGATTAGAAGGCCAGACACAGGGTACCGAATGGGAGACGAAGTCCTCCATGAAAAATAATATCAGCAGCGTATGCAAGGGTGGCTAACATCAGAACTGCCTTTAGAAACTTGCATAAGGAATTATTTAGAACCTTGTATACCACATATGTGAGACCACTTCTGGAGTATGCGGCTCCAGCATCGAGTCCATACCTTATCAAGTATAAGACGAAACTGGAGAAGGTTGAAATATATGCCACTAGACTGGTCCCAGAACTAAGAGACATGAATTGATACTTCTTGGTTCTGGAACCAAGTTGAAAGGCTGGACCAAAGAGCCCAAACTCGACCCCCGCAAGCACAATTAGGTGAATACAATTATGAAAGAGAGAGAGAGAGAGAGAGAGAGAGAGAGAGAGAGAGAGAGAGAGAGAGAGAGAGAGAGAGAGAGAGAGAGAGAGAGAGAGAAGCAAGTCAAATAATATGTGTCATTTTATGTTCTTTCAAGCAAGTCATCTTACGCTTCATTAGCCTTGTTCTATCCTCTTGTTCTTCAAGTTCATGTTCATATAACGAGAACAAACTTCGTCTCCTTGTATGTTCGCTGACTTAACATCTCTGGTGCCGTTATTGTTTTTATTTGGTATGTTCCTGTGATAATGTGTTTTTGTGTCTATATCTTATGCTATATGTAGATAGTGTACCCGGATGTGCCCGGGTTCCGCTTCCCGTCTCTCCCTTGTCTCTCGCTTTCCTCTCATTTTCCTCCTCTACTTTTCCATATCTCACTCCTATTCTGCCCCTCCCCATCTCCCACCCCCTCCATTTGTCTCCTTTCCCTCTTCCCCTCCTTCTTTCTTTCATAATCTCCCCCTCCCTCTCTGTCTCTCTCCCTCTTTCTGCCCTTCTCCCTCTACTCTCTTTCCTCCTATCTTCCCTATCTCTTTTTTTTCTGTCTCCCCATCCCCAGGCTGCATAGACGAGCACAGGCCGAGGATAAGTTGCACTTGTGTTGTTCTATATTGACAATATCTGCTCGCTTTAAGTCTGCACTAATAACAAAGTCTTGAGAGTCACAAGTCTCAACACAATGACATCACAAGAAACTGACGTCTCGGAGAAAATATACAGAAGCTGTATGATGGTTTGGGAGGGGGCGTCCCTGACCACCTCAGGTCCGCTCATCATCGTCCACGTGGTCGTGCGTGTGCATGACTTCAGGGACGCCGGTTCCGTCCCATTGAACAACGTCCATATTTTCTCAAATGTGAATCACCACCACCATTAAAGTGAGCATGTAGCCTGAACCGTATTGTTACAACCAAATGGTTGTCGCCACAATATCAGCCCGTTGCCTCGGGACTCGCAGTGTCCGGCAGCTGTCAATCCCCCAACACAGGTAGAGGTATGCACTGAGAGGTGTACCGAGTTTACCTAGTCCTGGATTATGTTCGCGGCTAAAGTATACCTGGTGGTTGGGCACAAAGCTTTAGTGGTGGCCTTAATAGCCCCCCCATCACCACGGTGGAAGACCTTGAGCCCGACACCTAACCTAACCTAACCTTCCTTAACCTAACTTAACCCCGAACGGGAAGAGACATGTTGAGCGGTGCTCGGGGCGGTGGTCCGGCCGTCTGCCCGGTGATGAAGGCCAACCAACATTGTAGGTTGGGTAAGGTGGGCTTCAGCGAGGCCAGGACCCTCAACCCTTGGGTTCTTCAACCCTATTACTTCGTCAGAGAACTCGTACAAGTTTGTCAGGCATGACTTTCCCCTTCTGAAACCATGCTGACGATTTATTACAAAGTTTACCCTTTCAAGGTGCTCATGTATTCTCTCTCTCTCTCTCTCTCTCTCTCTCTCTCTCTCTCTCTCTCTCTCTCTCTCTCTCTCTCTCTCTCTCTTCTCTCTCTCTCTCTCTCTCTCTCTCTCTCTCTCTCTCTCTCTCTCTCTCTCTCTCTCTCTCTCTCTCTCTCTCTCTCTCTCTCTCTCTCTCTCTCTCTCTCTCTCTCTCTCTCTCTCTCTCTCTCTCTCTCTCTCTTTCTCCCAGGCACTTTACATGGATTGATTGTAATGCTTTTAACATGCTAATCTACATGGAATACTTGTCAGTGACACTGCTACGAACTTTAGTGCCTCCAACGGTCCATATTTGTAGTTTTGCAGCAATAGTTGCTGCAACTACAGTAATGAATGACAAGTTGCAGGCTCCAGGTCTACCTGTACGTGATCATTATCCAAACTGAAGACAGTATTCTCACATCCCAAGCCTAGCTTGGCGTAGCTGGTCACTCCCTCAGACCCAAACACAGTGGTCCCAAACACAGTGGACCCAAACACAGTGGTCCCAAACACAGTGGACCCAAACACAGTGGTCCCAAACACAGACCCAAACACAGTGGTCCCAAACACAGTGGTTCCAAACACAGTGGTCCCAAACTCTGCTGGGACCTGCCCAAATAGTCAATAACCTTCTAAAACTAAATTATCTCGCGTACTCATGGGAATTTTGAGCCGGATATTATAATTTATTATAATTATATTTGTATTTTTCCATTGTTTATGGAGAAAACAAAATGTTCAATATTTGAATTCCAGTTTCAAAACCTAATGTCATGTAATTTTTTTGCGTTAATCCAAAGTCACTAACCGGTTTCCTTCAATATTTTCTAGTTCAGCTCTTACGTAAAGCAATTTTGCCTCCAAATTGAGCTGCTTTGTAAATCAATGAATGGGATCTTCAAATTACCCAAATCAATCCTCTGCAACATTTTAAATTCAGTTTGTGTAATGTTACGGTGTTGCACACCTCACCAATTCCGCAGCCTCTTCAGTTGACGTGAATTTAGTCATTCTTAAAAAAAACTTGATCAGCTTTTTGAATTAATGAATTAATGCTTTTGAATTTCTGTTTTCTCGTGAATTTCAAAATCTCAAATATTTTTTTGGTTTAGGTTTGGGAAATATTGAAAAGTACCATTATCGACATGACTAATTTCACGACCAGTTTGATTTCAAAGGATTTTATATTGTCAAACACAACATTAACTGTTTTGTTTACTGAAGTTTACTGAAGCTTGGTGTTCAAGTCGTTTAAAGGGTTCTGTTCCCTGTAAAATTAGTGGGATAAAACTTACCATGAGCTGTGGGAAGGGAAAGCTCTCAGCCAGCTCCTGTACCCACCTGTGTGTAAAACTAGTAGGGTAAGGCTTACCATGAGCTATGGGAAGGGAAAGCTCTCAGCCTGCTAACAAGAGTCAGCAGTCGTCTGCTCCTGTAGCCACCTGTGTGTAAAACTAGTAGGGTAAGGCTTACCATGAGCTATGGGAAGGGAAAGCTCTCAGCCTGCTAACAAGAGTCAGCAGTCGTCTGCTCCTGTAGCCACCTGTGTGTAAAACTAGTAGGGTAAGGCTTACCATGAGCTATGGGAAGGGAAAGCTCTCAGCCTGCTAACAGGAGTCAGAAATATTTCAAAACAATAATATGATAGTTATTGACACTGATGCATGGCAGGATAGTATGGTGGGTATGGCAGGATAGTATGGTGGGTATGGCAGGATAGTATGGTGGGTATGTCAGTGAGGCACAAAGGTCATGGGTGAGGCAATGTAGGTGAGGTAATGGGCAGCGTAGTGAGGTAAGAGCCCTCATGACGTCACAGCCACAACAATTCCTCCACTTCCTGGTATATCCAACGGTCCGACGTCGTCAGTGACGTCACGTGGTGGTGGTTATGGTGTGGTGGTGGTTATGGTGTGGTGGTGGTTGTGGTGTGGTGGTGGTTATGGTGTAGTGGTTGTTATGGTGTGATGGTGGTTATGGTGTGGTGGTGGTTATGGTGTGGTGGTGGTTATGGTGTGGTGGTTGTTATGGTGTGGTGGTGGTTATGGTGTGGTGGTGGTTATGGTGTGGTGGTTATGGTGTGGTGGTGGTTGTGGTGTGGTGGTGGTTGTGGTGTGGTGGTGGTTGTGGTGTGGTGGTGGTTTGTGGTGTGGTGGTGGTTGTGGTGTGGTGGTGGTTGTGGTGTGGTGGTGGTTGTGGTGTGGTGGTGGTTATGGTGTAGTGGTTGTTATGGTGTGGTGGTTGTTATGGTGTGGTGGTTGTTATGGTGTGGTGGTGGTTATGGTGTGGTGGTGGTTATGGTGTGGTGGTTGTTATGGTGTGGTGGTGGTTGTGGTGTGGTGGTGGTTGTGGTGTGGTGGTGGTTGTGGTGTGGTGGTGGTTGTGGTGTGGTGGTGGTTGTGGTGTGGTGGTGGTTATGGTGTAGAGGTAAAGCATCCCTAAAGCTGACAGCAGAAGGTAAAGCATAACAGTATACCTCACCGCATGTGTCGGCCATATTGGTAGAGTTTCCCTTAGTTTACACACAGAGGAGCACTGGCCGCCTCGATCAGGCTTGCAGAAAAAAAGATATCGCATGCTTCAGACTTACAGTCTAAAGTCTACCACATTTTAAGCTTACGTACAAAAGTGCAGAATGCTTCAAGTTCTGTAAACAAAACCCAGCAAGCTTCAAGCTTGATTTACAAGTCGTGGAAGCTTTAACCTGACGTCTAGAGAGAGAGAGAGAGAGGACCTCTCTGGAGTCCCGAATCCCAACAGGGACTTTAGAAACCCAATGGCACGACAGTTTGGTCTCTCTCCATTAACCACTCCGTAAAAAACACAACTGTTTTAGTTAACCACCGGTTAACAGGTTAACTAAACTAAAAAAACAGGTTAACCAGTTAACCTGTTTTAGTTTAGTTAACGTACGAACCCGACCAACCCACCTGACCAGTCGACGGCGATGTAGTATTACAACGCTCTCTTGAGTTTTATACAAATACGTCCACTTTTAAAACTTGATTTTTGAGTCTATAAAAAAGGAGGTTTTAGGGTAGAGGGAGGGGGGGGGGGGCACAGCCCTTGAAGCACTTCAAGGGGCACAGTAGTAGCTCCGACAACAGGAAGTGTGGCGAAGGATCGAGGCGCCTGACAGCTGAGGAGACAGCGTTCCGGATTCGTAGTCTTGAGGTTCCGGGTTCGATCCCCGGTGGAGGCGGAGACAAGTAGAGCCCCGGGACACTAAAGCCCCGAAATCATCTCAAGATAACCAAGATAAAAAGATAACCAAGCACCGTATGTTTGTAAATACTAAGCTGCAGGAAGTCAACAAGTTTGCCAGCAGACATGTCCCGGAGCTGAGAGGCATAGGTTACTAGGAAACTAATGGAACAAAGTATTATTAACGAGAGAAGAAAACGTCGAAACATGATCACGACATATTAAATAGTCAAATTGCAACGATTAACAGAGACTATTGAACATGGATGATACACAAATACCCGTTCCTGCGGTTCCCTTCCCATAACAAAGTGACTCCCTCTCCCACACTTAAGTAATATACCTTCCCTTCACCTAAGCCACTGCACCGCCCTTACCTAAGCTACCTCTCTTTCTCCTGTTCTTTACCTTACTTTTACCTGTGAGTGCCTTGCCCTGGGGGGTGGAGTCGCCTCTCATTGTGCGGGACAAACAGGTTCTTGTAGGTCCAGCAGTCGTCTGCGCTCTGCTTCCTGGGTCCTCCTCTGCTTCCTGGGTCCTTCTCTGCTTCCTGGGTTCTCCTCTGCTTCCTGGGTCCTCCTCTGCTTCCTGGGTCCTCCTCTGCTTCCTGGGTCCTCCTCTGCTTCCTGGGTCCTCCTCTGCTTCCTGGGTTCTCCTCTGCTTCCTGGGTCCTCCTCTGCTTCCTGGGTCCTCCTCTGCTTCCTGGGTTCTCCTCTGCTTCCTGGGTCCTCCTCTGCTTCCTGGGTCCTCCTCTGCTTCCTGGGTTCTCCTCTGCTTCCTGGGTCCTCCTCTGCTTCCTGGGTCCTACTCTGCTTCTTGGGTTCTCCTCTGCTTCCTGGGTTCTCCTCTGCTTCCTGGGTCCTTCTCTGCTTCCTGGGTCCTCCTCTGCTTCCTGGGTCCTGCTCTGCTTCCTGGGTCCTCCTCTGCTTCCTGGGTCCACCTCTGCTTCCTGGGTCCTTCTCTGCTTCTTGGGTTCTCCTCTGCTTCCTGGGTCCTTCTCTGCTTCCTGGGTCCTTCTCTGCTTCCTGGGTTCTCCTCTGCTTCCTGAGTCCTTCTCTGCTTCCTGGGTCCTCCTCTGTTTCCTGGGTCCTTCTCTGCTTCCTGGGTTCTCCTCTGCTGCCTAGGTCCTTCTCTGCTTCCTGGGTTCTCCTCTGCTTCCTGGGTCCTTCTCTGCTTCCTGGGTTCTCCTCTGCTTCCTGGGTCCTTCTCTGCTTCCTGGGTCCTTCTCTGCTTCCTGGGTCCTCCTCTGCTTCCTGGGTTCTCCTCTGCTTCCTGGGTCCTCCTCTGCTTCCTGGGTCCTCCTCTGCTTCCTGGGTCTTCCTCTGCTTCCTGGGTCCTCCTCTGCTTCCTCCTCTACGGCTCCTTCATCACCTTCGCTCTTCCTTCTCCATCTCCTCGCATTCTTCTCCGCTTCTTCTCATTTAACACCTCTTCCCTTCAATCTTGAAATAAAATCGATAACTGGCATTATTTTGTAAAATATGTTATTGTTATCAGTTATATAGTGTTATCTTTGGGTTAGTATCCAAGGCTATGAAAATGGCAAGATCTTCAAAACCCGAGAAATATTACTTTTAGAAAACAGTGATTTTAATGTCAGCCGTGGAGGCATTTGCTCCTTACCAGTTAATGTCACTGAGGCAAGACAGGGACCAAAAATGTCCCAATGAGGAAGTCATTGATGAATCAATGATATTCTCAGTGATTCATCACGTGAATTATTGCATTTGATGAGAAGCGCAGGAGACAGAACTGGACCACAGTCAGATTGTATTGGGGGGGAAATGCGTGGAACCCCTAATTGGGGCTTCATTTGGAAGCCTCAGGAACCCTAGAGTATTCAGTAGATTCCCAGGTTGCATTGCTTTTTACCATGTCGTGGTGGAGTGGTCTAGGGCGTTAACTTAGGAGTAGCAAGTGAAAGGGTTCGAATCCCCCTCACGGCTCCTGCTGATGTTCTCACTGATAAATCACGTTAATGTGATTTCATTGTTTCAAATGCGTTTCCTAGCAAGATATTTGATAGAGTTTTTTGATGAAATTCTTCTTATACACCAAATTGAAACCCATTGTTGACGTCGTCCCGAACCACATCTATGGTCAGCTGGGATGAGTAGATAGACTCGATAGAGGATTTAGGTAACTCTTTATAAGATGATTGGATAGACTCGATAGAGGATTTAGGTAACTCTTTATAAGATGATTGGATAGACTCGATAGAGGATTTAGGTAACTCTTTATAAGATGATTGGATAGGCTCGATAGAGGATTTAGATAACTCTTTTTATGATTCATGATTTTTTTGTGATATCTTATAATTCATTTGACTTCTTTGTGAGATTTGATGCCTGCATGATAACACAAATGATTTAATATGCTTAAAAGACTGATGTACAATGATTGATGCTCACTATATGAGTTCAGCTAATTGCTTTTGTTATTCACTCTCATCATTCACTTTTAATGAGAGCGAATGACACACACACACACACACACACACACACACACACACACACACACACACACACACACACACACACACACACACACACACACACACACAGACAAACACACAAACGGCTATACACCACACGCCTGGCGAGGGTTGAGTCATACAGCTAAGGTTCCATTCACCCTTGCGGTGTATAGCGACTCATGAGTGATGAGTGGCTAGTAGCTGCCGTACGTGTGAGTGACAGACGGTGAGGCACACACTCACACACCTGTCACCCCCCCTCACCGTGTCACTATAACATCATATCTCTCTCACTGCAATAGTCACAGGTGTCATACTAGCTAGCACACTCACACTGGCTATGACTTGCTAGCCACACCTGTCATGCTAGCCACACCTGCCATGCTAGCCACACCTGTCATGCTAGCCACACCTGCCATGCTAGCTACACCTGTCATGCTAGCCACACCTGTCATGCTAGCCACACCTGTCAGGCTAGCCACACCTGTCATGCTAGCCACACCTGTCATGCTAGCCACACCTGTCATGCTAGCCACACCTGTCAGGCTAGCCACACCTGTCATGCTAGCCACACCTGTCCAACCACTGTAATGCTAGTCACTTCAGTAGCATTACGCCTAATGTGTTTAACAGCTTCTTCTGCTCTCTTAAGTCTCAGTTGAAATCGTGTTTGATTTGTTCTCATCACTGGGTTAGATGATGTTCCAGTTGTCTGTTGTGGTTGTAAATGTGCACTGTGTTAGATGATGTTCCAGTGGTCTGTTGTGGTTGTAACTGTGCACTGTGTTAGATGATGTTCCAGTGGTCTGTTGTGGTTGTAACTGTGCACTGTGTTAGATGATGTTCCAGTTGTCTGTTGTGGTTGTAACTGTGCACTGTGTTAGATGATGTTCCAGTGGTCTGTTGTGGCTGTAACTGTGCACTGTGTTAGATGAAGGGGAAGAGGTGGGGAAAAGATAGATAGATAAATATATAGATAGACAGACCCACCCAGTCCCTCACCTGGCTACCTCCCCCCCCCAGCCCCGTAGTAAATAAATAAATACATGTTAGTGATCATGTGAGGGGAGTTGTGTCATTGCCAGGGACAGGAAGCCTGCTAGGCTCAGAGTGGCCTCCCAAGGCTAACGGCTGATTATCCCCCACAGGATGTGGTCCACAACAGTCCGCTTGCTCCTATAGGTACCTGCTTAAAGCTAAATGACCAGTCACCAGGTGGCAGGTACCGTGGTCATTGGCCTGGCTTGCTTCCCTCTGAGTACACACGACCTGGCTCACCCCCGCCCTCGCCCTCACCCCTCCCTCATCCCGCCCTCACCCTCACCCCCACCCCGCCCTCACCCCCACCCTCACCCCCGCCCTCACCCTCACCCCTCCCTCATCCCACCCCCACCCCACCCCCACCAGGTACAACCATCGTAGCTACCTGTACTTCCCCATCCGTGTGTGTCACCTTCAGAGTGTGGGGGTGAGGTGTGGGGGAGGTGGAGGTGGGTGAGAGGAAGGAAGGGAAGGAAGGGGCGGGAGTTGTGAGAGGGGACACGCCGGGGGTAATGAGAAGAGAGAGAGAGAGAGAGAGAGAGAGAGAGAGAGAGAGAGAGAGAGAGAGGAGAGAGAGAGAGAGAGAGAGAGAGAGAGAGAGAGAGAGAGAGGGAGGGAGAAAGGTAATAAGGAAATAATTGATCCATACTAAAAGAGAAGAGAGGTGTAGGTGAAGATAGGGAGGCTGGAGTGTCGGAGGGTGTTCACAAGCACCGAGACCACAACACTTGTATCACAACCACCACCTTAGTCACGCCCTGTTGTATGTCTCTCACTAGTCCGTGTGCGCCATCTTGAATACAAAGCCAATTTTCCCAGTGGCACAGAGTCTATAGAGTGACCCCTGTGGCACTGTGGGCGCTAGCCTGACCCCTTGTGGCACTCTGGGTGCTAGCCTGACCCCCTTGTGGCACTCTGGACGCTAGCCTGACCCCTTGTGGCACTCTGGACGCTAGCCTGACCCCTTGTGGCACTCTGGGTGCTAGCCTGACCCCTTGTGGCACTCTGGGTGCTAGCCTGACCCCCTTGTGGCACTCTGGACGCTAGCCTGACCCCTTGTGGCACTCTGGTGCTAGCCTGACCCCCTTGTGGCACTCTGGACGCTAGCCTGACCCCCTTGTGGCACTCTGGGCGCTAGCCTGACCCCCTTGTGGCACTCTGGGTGCTAGCCTGACCCCCTTGTGGCACTCTGGGCGCTAGCCTGACCCCTTGTGGCACTCTGGGTGCTAGCCTGACCCCCTTGTGGCACTCTGGGTGCTAGCCTGACCCCCTTGTGGCACTCTGGGTGCTAGCCTGACCCCCTTGTGGCACTCTGGACGCTAGCCTGACCCCCTTGTGGCACTCTGGGCGCTAGCCTAACCCCCCCTTGTGGCACTCCGGACGCTAGCCTGACCCCCTTGTGGCACTCAAGACGCTAGCCTGACCCCCTTGTGTCACTCTGGACGCTAGCCTGACCCCCTTGTGGCACTCTGGACGCTAGCCTGACCCCCTGTGGCACTCTGGACGCTAGCCTGACCCCCTGTGACACTCTGGACGCTAGCCTGACCCCCTTGTGGCACTCTGGACGCTAGCCTGACCCCTTGTGGCACTCTGGGTGCTAGCCTGACCCCCTTGTGGCACTCTGGACGCTAGCCTGACCCCCTTGTGGCACTCTGGACGCTAACCTGACCCCCTTGTGGCACTCTGGACGCTAGCCTGACCCCCTGTGGCACTCTGGGTGCTAGCCTGACCCTCTGTGGCACTCTGGGTGCTAGCCTGACCCCTGTGGCACTCTGGGTGCTAGCCTGACCTCCTGTGGCACTCTGGGTGCTAGCCTGACCCCTGTGGCACTGAACAGTTCTTGACTGCTTCATCACCCGGTAAGTTAGAGGTTGCTGTGCATGATGGTGTATCACCACTTCTTGTCTCTAACACCGCAGCTCCCCTTCTCTGGTGCTGGACCCCTTCCCCATCACCACAGGGACCCTTCTCTGGTGCTGGATCCCTTCCCCATCACCGCAGCTCCCCTTCTCTGGTGCTGGACCCCTTCCCCATCACCACAGGGACCCTTCTCTGGTGCTGGACCCCTTCCCTATCACCGCAGCTCCCCCTTCTCTGGTGCTGGACCCCCATCTCGGACATTCTTCTGTTCCTGTAGATAATTTTCTGTGAATTCTGTCTTAACAAACTCTCCCATTCCACCCATTCCTTTCCCTTAGACATTTCCCCTTATATTCCTTCCACCCGAGAGCATGACTCATGCCCCTTCCTCACCTCAAGCACACCCCCCTACCCCTTCCATCTGTCCCGCCCATTCCTACCCCCTTCTTCTCATGTGTGTGTCGGGGTGATGGTGGTGATGTCCCGTCCATGGTCACCTCTTCCACAAGCGCCCTCTCTTCCTCCTCCCTTGGTCTCCTTCCTACTAGTCTTCTCCCTTCCCTCCTCTCTCTCTGTCTCTCTCTCTGTCTCTCTCTGTCTCTCTCTCTCTCTGTCTCTCTCTCTCTCTGTCTCTCTCTCTCTCTCTCTCTCTCTCTCTCTCTCTCTCTCTCTCTCTCTCTCTCTCTCTCTCTCTCTCTCTCTCTCTCTCTCTCTCTCTCTCTCTCTCTCTCTCTCTCTCTCTCTCTCTCTCTCTCTCTCTCTCTCTCTCTCTCTCTCTCTCTCTCTCTCTCTCTCTCTCTCTCTCTCTCTCTCTCTCTCTCTCTGTCTCTCTCTCTCTCTCTCTCTCTGGTCGACCATCATGTACCCCGGGCTGAGAGCCACACTTCCAGGCGTGTATCGGACTGGCCTTTTCCTGATTCCGGGTCGTTCACATATCCCCTTGAGCGCCTGGCGTCTCCACCTTCCTCATTCTCAGCCGGGAAAA